GTATATGACAAATTATAAAGTGCTAAATCGAAAGCAAATCAAAACAAAAGCAAAGTAGAAGAGAATAATACACAAAGAGATACAAATTGAAATCAACTTTGAACAATATCAAAAGAAAAACATCAAGACGAAGTTTAACCTAAAACAAATTAAAAGAAACAAAGATCACAAGAGATATTCTCAAAACGAAAAAGGAGCACCATGTATGAACACAAAGCTTTCTTTGTACTTTGTCAAAACTCTCTCAAAAGAAAAAATATGATCGTGTTTACTTCTCTTTTTTCTTGTTATTGTCCTTAAAATATGTTATTGGATATTTAAAAAAATTTTGTGAGAGTTATTTTAGTGTAAAACAGTTTAATTTAGAAAAAGTGTAGATTGATAAAAATATAGTCAAAAAATATTTTTTTTCCAATTTTCCCATGATTTTTTCTATTTGGACCCATAAGGGCTCACAAAAAGGCACTTATTTATTTCACAATTGGAGTATTTTTTATTCACCGCCAATCAATAGGAACTGAAGTAGAATAGATAATTTGTTATTGAGACTATTTGTATTAGATTTGAGTACTTAATCCAAAACTAGATAGAGACCATCACAGCAAAAACAGATGCAAAAACTTTTAGTACATGGTAATTAAACTCACGAAAAGCTTAACAAGAATAACAAATATATGGAAACTTATATTGATGTGTCTATAAAAAGAGTTGAACAAATCTTATAATTTGGAATGTATATTGATGTGTCTAAAAATGACATAGCTAAACCATGGCAGCTAAAAAACCTACGAGTTCCCCGGTACTAACATACATGCCTGCTAAAATATGAGATTGTTTCCAATAAGAAATGACTTCACACGTCCACAAAATTATCCCGAAACTGCATAGTAAAATAATGATGGGATCATGGATGTAACCGAACCGGCACGCAATCACAAAAAAACGCTTCTCAGTTCTCACTAACCGCGCGTGTAGACCAGACGCTCACGCAGCGAAGCACGAATACTCCATGCCACGTATGTATTCCCCATGGGTCCCACATTCACCAAGAAAAGAAAATATAGACAAATTTTACAAAATAATTTCATTCTAACTGTGTGTGTGAAAACGTCCCAATATATAAAAAAATCCACCCATTAATTTGCCACGGAGATTTTTCTTTTCCTTCTTCTCCACTTTTCGCCACCATTTCTCCATTCTCTCTCTCTCTAGAAACGGTGGAAGGTCTAGGTCCAACCTTTAAGCTATGACCGGCGGAGACTGGATTCAATCGGCTATGAGCGATGATTCGTTAGTGGCGGAGGCTCTGATCTGCCTCCACCATTCCGACCCGCCGCCGCCACCTCCGGAGAAAATCGTTGGTGTGTCGGATCTCAAGCTGCAGTGGAGCGTCCGTGGTCGGAGGAGCAAATCGTCTTCGTCTTCGTCGAGGAAGAAAGGAGATCATACACGTGCTAGTCCCACAACGCCTCTTTCATGGAGCGGCGCCACCTCTTTAAGCGGCGCCGTTGATGGATTTGAGGAGTCAAGCGTCGTCGACGTGAAACTGTCAGAGGCCGTTAGATCTAAGGTTCGTTCGATTCTAATATCCTTTTGCTTTCTGTTTCAAACAGTTTTTGAAACTTTGGGTTGCTCTGTTTGTGTTTGTGTTTGTGTTTGACGAATATACCCTTCGGTGGACGGTGGCGACTGATACCTGAAGCCTAGTCGTGATTTCCTCTACACGTAATCTCGGTCTTCCTTTTTTCCCGCAACTACATCCAATTTTGTACCCTCTGTTTCTCTTAAGGGTCATTTTCGTCATTTCAGTCCAAGATCGGCTTCTTCGCCGGTCACGTAGCCTTTGCCTTCTTCGATCTATATACTTCCGACTTTGCGTTGACCAAAATATCCTTGTGTGTGTGTGACCGTCAAAACACACCTTCTTTTTTTTTTTTCTGCAGAAATCTATCTTCTCTGC